TACCTTATACCTACATCTAGCTTTGTGGATATTATCGCACATACTATTTATTATTTACTGTTACGTAAAAAATTACACCCATTAATGGTTTTGGCAACAAATATATTATTACCATATTATAATTATTCAAGGTTTATTGCTTAATTTTATTAGGTAGGTACCACAGATTTCAAGGTTCTAGAAGAAAGTTAATATTGTTTACATTATTATATTTACATTGTCATTTTAATGATCTATGCAAATTATTTTTTCGGCGAACATATACAGGATATTCGGAAATGATGTTCCAATATTTTACCAACCATTTAAGTTATTTTTTTATAAAATTTTGGAATTTTGAAATTTTGATGCTTTCTGTAGACACATTTAAGTTTCAAAATGCGAAAAAAATTAATCAACGTTTTTAGTTCTGTTTAACAGACCCAATTTACAGCTTGAGCTATTCATGGTAAATGTATAGTTTGACTTCTTTTTTCTATTGTAAACAAAAAACCACGTACTATATTTTATAGAAATGAATATTAACAAAAATAGGCCATTTTTTTAAATTAATATTAACAATTTTACGAAAAATAGAGTAAATAGGGATGCTGGGTGTGTAAAATAATGCCAAGTTATAAAATATTGTTAGAAAATTATTAGAAATGAATTGCTGTACTCATATCTTGATTTACAATGGGACGGCAACAACGAATGTTAGGTTAGGTGGTGTCAATTTTCAAATGTCACTAAGATGTGCGTTCACTTCGACATTCTATCATTGCGTTCGATCTGCCAAGTTTCTTTAACTCCTTTAACACTTTTTACTCCAAACGACTCTTTTAGCGTTCGGTTTAGTCCGATTAATGACAGTTTAACACGCTTAAATGTCATTTAAAAGCACCCTAAAAAACTCCGCTTTTGTCCCGCTCCAGCCCCTGTCTAAACTATTGGTTTGTTCGTTGGCTCGGTTTTGTATAACAAACAAAACTTCGACACAAGCTGATTGGTCTATTCTCGATGACGTTCACATTTTAAATTTTAATTTATAAATCTTATTATTTTTTTTTTGGCTTTTTTAACAAACTGATTATTTAGAATAACTTGTATAGTGACTATTACAACATAATTTATAAAACAGCATGTCACATGTGAAAATGGCCAATTACAGAATCTCTTTGTATATTGTAAATCGGATTATTCAACTGCTCAGATATGGTGCTGATTTTGAGGATTTTTATTTTCGTTTTGTATTTTAATTATTTCATCAGCGTTTGAAAACTCTAAATTGATTGTCTTTATAACTGGCTTATAATATTAGTAGAACAATGAGTTATATTATTATTTATTAAATTTGTAATACTTGAAATCCAATTACGCCGGTTATAGATACCCACAAAGCACAAACCCACAATGGGTGCACCCCGTATAAACCTGCGATAATTCAAAAGCGGCATTTCAATCATAAGCCATTAAAATTTATAATAGCATTGTTGTTAATATAATTATGTTTGCGGAAATACTGGTTTATGGTGGAAAAGAATAAAGGAAAGACTGATGTTGTTCTGCTTTACGTATTTACCGATAATAACAGCATTAACCACGTTCAGCCATTTTCAATTACAGGTAATAGATAATAGTCTAGAACAACGGATGATTTTAGAATAATAATGAAATGTGAACCAAACATTTTAGTTATATTATAATAATATTTAATGGTATAGATTGGAAAGCTGTAAAAGAAATTGAGCAAAACAATAACTGACCGACACCATTTTAAAAAATTAACCTGTCAAAATCTATGTTCGGACTTTCACGGGAGAAAAACATCAAAATACGTGGTATAACGTTTTATTGCAAAATAATAGATTTAAATTCAAATATAGAAACTTTATTTTATCAGACCCTCGGCCTAGCTCATATCAGGATCGTGGAGTTCGAGTTTAGAATTTTCTAACAAACCAATGGCATCATCTTTAATTAAAAAAAAATTTATGGTTAAGGACATTTAATAAAGAACAATTATTAAAATTGCAGCGTTTGATTAGATTCGCAACAGTATTCAGTTACCTTGTTAAAAGATGGAAAAGAAAAATCTAGATATATAAAAAATAAATAAAGATAAATAAAAAATAAAAATGGCCGCTTTTAAAGGCATGCGGTATAAAAACAAAAGAGCATTTTAACGTTAATCAACCCAAAACAATTCGTGGAACTCAGGTAATAATCTACAAACGAAATGTTGAACCTTGATGATGCAGTTCTAAATAACCAAATATATTAAATAAATCCCTTTTGTCACCAAGCAAGCATTCACGAAAACAAACAAGTGGATCTTTCGAACTCACACCACGAAAAGAACGAGAATATTCTGTAAGCTGACTTAAAAGGTAAATTGCATTGTCCGATCGCGCGCAAGACCTAAATCATTGATTTTTCAAAGGACTCAGTAAGGAGATATTCGCACCAGCGGCATGACGAAATATTTTTCGCAGGAAAGTATAATTATTAAATGTAGGTAATATTGCGGAAATAAAACTGAAACGTTATTTATAACATTACAGTAGTCATTATAATAATTACCCAAAATTTAAAAAGGGACCCTCTACAGACTGAATAAGAATAACCTTTGTGCCATTACTTCTAAAGTAAAAGTTAAAGAGAAAAATATAGCGCGGTGGTAAAGGAAAGGGCATTAACATATATCTCCGTTGTTAATGGTCCGATTCAAACGGGAAAAACGGGGGAGTGGGAGACATTACATGTAGATTAACGTTGAAGAGAATATAGTACTAAAGCAAAAAAGCAGTAACGTATATCTTTATTTCTATTGGTCCGATTCAAACGGGAAAAACGGCACTATGAAGAAGAGTCGTCATAGATTAACGTTGAAGAAAAAAATAACTCGCAGTGGAAAGAATAAAAGGACATTAACGTATGTTATGTTGGGAATGGGGTGTTAATATACTGCGACCTAAAAGATCTATTGTGTCCCCTTCTGTCGCCAATGCACTAAGGAAATGTCTCAATGACTGATTATAGAAATTATCACTGATAGTTTTATTGGGCAGTGTAATTTCACCAAAAGGGATTTTATCACACACTCTGGCTCACACGACATCGAGCCAACACCTTGAAGGAAAGCGTCCATTTTGTCAAACCCTCTGTGTCGAGGAAAGTCGCGTATACTTCTTTTATTTCAAGTAGTATATTGTTGTCTATACTTATTCCAGGGTTTTTGTTGTGTTTTGGTTCCTGTTTTGTTCCTGTAATCTTAATTTTACATCCTTGGCTGCATTTTATGGTACTAGTTTTGGTTTTACCATACTTTCGTCCGATCTGGATTATACCGGTTACCGGTTGGAACCCGATCTTCTAGTGGTGAAGAACTATCAATAACCATCGATAGTCGATGTTAGGCACCCATCATTGATCGAAGTTCGAAAGTTTGGTTAGAATGTTGTACTGTAGGTGGCATTTATGCGAGTGACTTAGAAAAAGAAGAAGAAGAAAAAAAAGAAGAAGTATTTAATTATTTATGATTTATTTGTTTGGTTATGTCCACGTGGACACGTTTTAATTCGTTTTCATCGGTATGGAAAAGTTTTTGAATATACTCCGACCTGGTCCTAGTAATTGTAATTCTAAATATACAGGCACGTTTATGCAAAACTAGATTAATTTTCAGAACGATCGTATGTCCAGTCTAGTTTTCCATAAACGTCTAGGGTACCATCCACCGTGGAACTCTTTCTATTATGGTACATAACAGAATAAGGTATGGAAACAAAGGTCTGTTTCCCATATAACGACAGAAAACTGCAATTCTAGAACTAGCTGTGAAATAGTGTGCACGCAATTTTTAATAGGTATGCGCACTAGTTCTGTAATTGCAGTTCTCTGTGGTTTTTTAGGAAAAGAAAACAAAGCTATAGAAGAAATACTTCCGCAACCAAAACTATCGTAAACTATCGATAATAATCGATAGTCGAATGCCTGACTATCGATAACTATCGATGGTGCAGACTATCGAAGTTCTCCACCACTAGATCTTCCCTAGCTTACAGCTGGAAATCGCTGGAACCCAGGTCAACAGCTTAGTACAAATACCCTCGTAATAGCTTATTTTTTTTTTTTAGTTACGATTCTCACTACCATTTTTAATTTATTGACATTTGGAGGGTTATATGAACATTTGTGATATAGTTCATTGTTATTTTCTTTTCTTTTGTTGTAACAATACTTGCTTGTGCCGTAGTTTGGCTGAAACGCAAACCACCGGTACACCCTTGAATTTAATTGTTTATTTCTTAATTGTGAGGCGTGTATGGTCATACGGGCTAACCTACGTTGTATCAACTATTTAGTCTGTAATTATACGAAACATACGATTGTTTGAATTGGTTGTTTTATTTTTCCGCGTTTTATAGACGTTACAATCGTGCTGGGAGATCGTCTTATTCTTCTAACATAATATATATAGGTATTATACCCATAATACATAATAATTAACAAAGTATCTAACTTCCACCTCACCTCACTATTCTACTATATCAAATTCACTAAAACTTTCTCTTTTAGGCTTAACATTTTACTGAATACGTTAAAATCTATGTCGACAAATTAGTTCTCATGAACTGAGCTATAACTCTTAAACGGCGCCCGTTACTCATATATATGTTAGTGATACTCTCCTTGTACCCCAACATTATTGAAAACGTGTTACTCTCAATTGTCAATACTCCTGGCAAGTCAGGATGGACGAACAGAGGACGGAGGAGATCAGCGAAGGAAAGCAGCAGTCGCAGTCTTAGCTCGACCGCGTAGCCAAGTAATAAAATAGACAATAGTGTAATAATAATAAATATACAGTTTTGTTGGTTTAATGACTTTTATTGGGCTTAATTATCCCTTACCTTATCATATATTTCATTCTAAAACCATATTAATCCTCTTCTGTAACTACTTGGCCTTTTACATGTAACTACTTGTCTTTTAAATCTACTTAAAACTTGTTTCAGAGACAATGGCAAAATGGATACCGATGCTACTGTCACTGTTCCTGCCTCTAGCTAGCCAAAATAGCGTCCAACAGCACCCCAGCTGCAAATTTCACCTTAGTTTTCTTCAGGGACAACAAATGACGTGTTCTAACGCGAACATGAATTTTTTCCACATTTTCGACATACCCTTAAACCGAACTCATTGGTTTAAGTGCGCCAATTGCTCACTGGATGTACTAGATGAAACCACCTTTAATTTCCCGAAAAGGAACAACATTTCCGTTCTGGAATTACCGAATTCGGGTGTGAGGGTGATAAGGAAATTCGCTTTTCAAAAGTTTTTCTTGATTAAGAGTCTAATACTGCACAATAACAGCATCCAAACGATGGAAAATATGTGCTTTAACGGTATCAAACGTTTGACTCAATTGGATTTGAGCAGTAATTATATAAAAATTTTAGCGAACAATTTGTTTCTTGATTTAGAAAATTTGGATATACTAAATTTGAATAACAATCGAATTGTTTATATAAATTCAGAAGCCTTTTCAGGGTTATCTAACCTCAAATACTTATATTTAAACGGGAATAATTTAGATAAACTAGATGATAATGTATTCAAACATTTGATTCATTTAAAAATTTTGTATTTAGAACACAATAGAATAAACAACATTCATCCACATGCTTTCAACAATTTGGTAAATTTGAATTTCTTGTATTTAAGCCATAACAGTATTAGTTATTTGGTACAATATAATTTTAAGCATTTGACTAGTCTAGTAGATTTACATTTAAGGTACAATAACTTAACAGAAATCCAAACGAGTTCTTTTAACGGTTTAAAAAATGTCAGATCGTTGCATTTAGGCAACAATTATATAACCGTTATAAAACCGTACGGTTTTGTAGGTTTAAACAACCTTGAAGTATTAGATTTAATAAACAATCGATTTGAAACTGTAAACTATTTTGATTACTTTGGTAACATGCAAAATTTAAAATATTTATGGTTGAACAACAACTCAATTAACAGTATAAACTTCGTTTATAAATTCGATATACAAAATTCTCTATCGATAATCGATATTAGCGATAATAACCTTACTAGTATCGATTATGAATCGATGCTATCAAACTTGCCAAATATCAAAGAGATTTTTGTTGCAAATAATTCCTGGGAATGCGATTTCTTTGATAGAATGTACAACTATTTACAAAACAACAACGTAACTGTTTGTATTAATAATAAATGTGAAGATAAAGATGGCGACACTTACGCAGACATTGATTGTATTAGAGCTGTCACTGATGTGGCTTTCAATGTGACGGAAGACGTGAGTACGGATTTTTCGATGGATTGCTGTCAAAAAAATACGCATTTCGAAATTTTATCGGTATGTCTGATTGCAGTATTACTAGGTTTTATTTAAATTATAAGGAATGAATCAATGAAAATCGTGTTATTTTTACTAATTACTAGTAATTTGAAAATGTTGGTTTTAAAAGCAAGATGCGTTTGACTACCTATTGACCATGTTTGATCACCCACCAGTGTCGGCTAGTGCATTAGCACACAGGTGGGACAGACTAATGTATCACGCAAGTGCTCAGACGGGGACGAAACATTTTTGGGTGACACGACCAAATTTTGACTATGTCGTTAAAATATTAGACAAAAACTTAAGAATTCTAATGATTTTCAAATTATGATATCATAAGTATTATGTTATGTTGTTGGGAATTGGGTGTTAATACACTGCTACCTAAAATATCTATTGTGTCCCCTTCTGTCGCTAATGCACCAAGGAAATGTCTCAATGCTTATAACGACCCTTCCAATCCTATCTTCTCAAGGAAGTGTAGGATTTGAAGTGGCTTCAAGTTAGGTAAATCTCCCTCTTCTATTTGATATCCTCCTAGATATAGTGCCTTATAATTCTAGAGTGCTACACATTCAGTTAGGATGTGAATGGAGGTTTCATCCTCCTCTTCACAGAATCTGCACTTACTATCCTCTACTACTCTCAGTTTACTTAGGTATCTTTTTAGTCGGCAATGCCCGGTAAGGATCCCTGTTACAATACGTAGCCTGTTCTTGCTCAGGCAGATGTAGGCTTCCAATCTTTTCTGGTTATTGAAAGAGTAAAACCAAATTTGGTAGATTTTCACACTTTTATTTTAAAAATATAAAAATTTTTAAAAAACACTAACATGACATATGTTTCGAAGTACAACTTCTTTTTCAAATGCTACAGAAGTTTCTGAGGATGATCAAAAAAATGATGGTCAAAGATGGTCAAATATGGTTAATAGGTAATCAAACGCTTGTGGTTTATAAAACCAACATTTTTGAATTTTGAGGAGCCACCTTCAAAGAGTTTTTACTTGGTTGCATAGCTTTTAATAACAATTATTTTCATAAAAACCGCTACCTACTTCCCAATTTTATGACACGCCCTGTATTTTAGCTACTATGAGTTTTCCAAGTTCTTGAATAAATTGGTTTGAGTGTGCATCAAAATTTGTTTCATTTAAACTGACTTTTGATTGTCAATTATACTGTCATAGTCCAGAGAAACGTCATTGTCAATTTAAGTTGACGTTTATTAAATAATTATGATTGATATGCTACTCAAAACTCAAAAATAATATATGTGTAATTGTGTATATATTTATAAAAATAGAAATATATGTTTTTTAGTACAAATAACCACCCTGTGATTGTTTTGAGATTTTTTAAATTGTCCAATTGTAAATGTGTGTGTAGATTGCAGAGTTATTTTTTTCTATGTTTGATCCAGAGCTATTCGAGAGTACTATAGCGATAAAAAAAAATAGATTTTGGACAGGTCTGAGTAAATTAAGAAAAATTCTACAATGTACTCACACCTTAAATATTTAACTTCGGTAGAGTACAGTAGACCATAGCTAACTTTGGTTTATAAAACTCAAATAAAATGTATCAAATTTTACCGTTCACCGAAACGATTTTTATACAAAATGTTTTAAAAGAATGGCCAACATTTTAATCATATGCCAAAATATTAACACAATATAAAAGTTAAATAATATCCAAAATATTTCAAAAAAGAAAAGAAATTTAAAGCATATTTAGCATTATATTAATATTTTGAGGTTGTGAAATATTGACTATTCCTTATAAACTGCAGACTCACCTGTTTGGCCAACGTTGTTGACATCTTTTAGAGAAGAGAAAAGCCAGTATTAAAATATTTCAACCAGTTTATTAAGTTCCTATTAATGATTAGTGATTTTTTTTTGTACTCTATGTACCTATATAGTAATACTTCTGCTATACTCTACTGTTTTTTCTTTATATATATAAAAGTTGAAATTAGGTTAAGTTTATGATTGTTATCTACCTCATTAGATTTAATTATGTTTTTATTTTGTTGTTTTTTGCTTGTAATAAAATTGCTATTCTATTTCGTTGTTTCATTTACTTATTTATTAGGCATAAATCAACTAGATTTTAAAACTATGTTTTATTACCAAAGATATGTCAAAACAAGTAGGAAAAACTCATATAGTTGATTATTTTCCAGTTAAATTATCAAATATATTGAGTACGGACCATCTAATCCAAGAGTATATAGAATATGAATAAAAGATAAACAAATTCCGCACCTATTTACCAACTGAAATTTAGAAAAAAAACATATTTTTCACTTTTCCTCAAATTTCTCCATTACGGTCCATTTTAGAGAAATTATGTATATAACAAAAAATATAAAGAATGACATCGCAGATAACTTTTATTAAAATAATTTTCTTCCTAAATCATAAATAACAGAAATATACCTTAAAAAAGAAAAACGACCCCCCTACAGTACCCCTACAGATTCTCCGATTAGGCCCAAAATGTAATCAGATTACCAAAAAATGGATTATATTCAGAGGACCCCAAAAAGTAAAAATCCGTCAAAAACTCAAGGCTAAAAAAAATATTGTTAGTTATATTTTTTGAAAATATACTAGAACTCCTATGAAATTATACTAGATTCTTGAAAATTGTATTAAATTTCACTGCAAAGGTAATATTGTTGCCTACATGGAATAGTGACTTAAGTCAAAAACTGGTCATTCTAGAAAACAGTTGATAAAAGTTTGAATGAGATTAATTTTGACGTATTTTTTTATTCAAAGAATGAGCAATTTCATTAAAAACACACATTTTGGTGTATTTGGTCGCCTGCATGCAATAGTGGCTTAACTCAAAAACTGGTCATTTTAGAAAACAGTTGATAGAAGTTCGAATGACATTTATTTTCACGTATTTGGAATTTTTAATAAAAATGAATGTTTTGTATTTTGGAGATTCATGTATTGTACCTCCCTGAATTCAGCCCTTATTTTGAGTTATGCCACTGTTACACACCAAAACCTCGTTTTTCAAAATATATTTTGGAAAATACAATCTGGGCACTTATTTTTTTGTTATTAATGTAATTTACTTTAATTAGGATCAAGGTTCAATAAATACTTCAAGTTGGATAAGAAAATGTCTTTATTAACAAAAGAAAAGTACTATATGTAAAATTTCTCGTGAATTGGTGGGATAGTCTTGTTTCCTACTAGGCTAATAAGGTTTTTCTTATTTTTTTTGCAGTAATTGGCAGACTGTCAGTGTAAGCCTTTTCCAGTTCTACACTACCCATTCTTTGTAAACATTTTTCTTTTGTAATATCAACTGAGAAATAGTAATGAGTAGAATTGCTCTTCTTTAGATAGATTTCACAATTTATTTCACGTAGCACAACTCCAAAATTATCACTAGACACATTTATAGAAGATCTAAAAATGTCTGCAACACTGACAGAACTCAAAATGTGACGGTATTGAAAGAAAACTTGGTTATCGATAAACTTGGCTTCCAGTGCGCTACTAAAAAAATACCAGTATTGCCAGAACCACAATCGTCAATGCGTCACAATAGCACTGGTGCCACCTATAGACAATTTGTATTACTACAGTAATATTATATGCAGTAAACGGTGAATTTTAAGACATGTTCATTGTTTTGTGACAAGTGACAATACATACTCAAACACTCTTGTTTCAATTTGGCCATTCTAACAAGAAGGATTTTTTTAATTATGTATTCCGATTATTTATGTTCTTGAAAGAGTTTATATCTAGGAAAACACACAATCATTTAATTCCAAACAAATTTGATACAAATTCTGGCGAACGAAAATTTCGAAAAAAAAAAAAATCATTGGTCCAAAGGTGGTAAAAATTCCAAAATTAAGCGATGTTTTAAGTGATTGTATTAAAATTGAAAACGGTTCAAACAGAACGAATTTAAAATTGTAATTATGCCAACGCCAGTGGCGTAACTGCAGCTAATGCAATTTTACATCGACCGAATGGCTTTGGTTTGCATAGCAACCGAATCAGTGGTGTAGTCCGTTTAGGAGTTTTGTCATCAGATATTTTAAAATATTTTTTTTATTATATAATGTCCTTAGTGCTCGATTTATAGTTTAATTTGTGTCTTTAGATATACCTAATTTGCTATTCGTTGATATTATTATTACAAATTTCAATTAACAATCAAAGTTACTATTATTGTTGTAAGCAATTTTTTCTGAGCTTTCAGCTTAGGTTAAAGTAAGGTAATGATGTACTCTGTCAAATGTCTTGGTAAAGTGGCTGAAAAATGGCAGGTTTGTAAAGTATGTGGTTAAAAAGCAATAAATCTTAAGAAGTTTAGAATGATTATAATTCAGATCTAATTTGAAATTGACGTTTCTAAGTTAAATTTAGATTATAGCTTACAGGCTCATACTATACTTGGTAAACAAAGGCGTATTTCCTAAATAATTGTCTTCAACAATATCCGTTTTGATATTTGTCCCACTTTGTATAATTTGGAGGCACATAATTTGATTACTATACGGTGCAAGAGAGAGGTCCAACATGCCCAACATAGGGCGCGGCCATTTTGATTCCTATGCCACAGTTTATAGCTAAAGAATCAGATCGCTCACTCTGCGTCGGCACTTTTGATCTCAATGTTCCAGTTTATAAACTGCGCAAATACAAAATATGACAACCGCCTATAATAAAACAGCAGTCTTCTGCGTATCCTGAATTTGTATCCCCCTGAAGTGGATGTTATTTTGGAACTTTCAACTGCTCCGAGTGAGCTAACTCATTCTTTAGTAATAAACTGTGACTCCAAAAATAATATTCACTGACAGCAGCTAGCAAAATATCAGGTGCGTTTTAATCATCCGCTTCTGCTTCCGGAATTGTCGGTTTAGTCGTTTTAACCAGTCAGATTAAAACAAGAAAACCGACAATTCCGAAGCAGAAGCGGATAATTAAAACGCACCTATTAAAAATATTGCGCCAAGATGTAAGCAACACGTAATAAGGGATCAAAATGGCGGAGTTTTCTAGCTCCTTTTAAAAGGCACTCAGAAAGCTGCGCAGTGCGACCATTCTCCGTATAGTAAGAGAAAATCAAAGTAATGTGTTTGGAGGTATCTTTCTGTGTTTATTATGATATTTGAGTGGTACCTACATACCTTGTATTTTTTGTGAATGTTTTTGTGTCGCATAAAATGAGAATTTTTCCACTAGTGAAGTTACTTTGGACGGTTCTTGATTATCTAGCCTAGCTGCTGTCAGTAGGATTTCTTCGGGAGCCTATGGCCTTTGTTGATTTTAGCAGTATTTTCAGTTATAATTATTATATTTTGGTACCGAATGTTGTACAGACATTGTGCTTATGTTTTTGTCACTGGAAATAATAGTTTTGTTCCACTTGGGTTAGGTCTTGAGTTTCCAGCCAAGTGTTGTCAGGGAGTGATGTTACCAATACAAAAATCATGTTGGGTGCTAGATGTTATAAACAAATCAACGTTGAAATGGGTTTTGGAACAAGAGGACCAGGGGAAATGTTACAAAAAAACACAATTACCAAATTTGATTGTAATATGTTTCCCAGTAAAATATCTGGGTATGTATGACACTTGCTTCTAGATCTCGTTGGAAAGGCTATATTAAAAAAGAAAAGTGTAGCGCTTGGTATAAAATACAAAATAATATATGTTACTACAAAAAAGAACTTCAAATTGTGTGGATATATATCACTGTACCAGTTCAAAACTGTAACATCTCAAAAGTTTTTGAATTTGAGATAAAAATGCAAGGAGGGCATGATCTGTACAGTTTAACATTAATATCTCAAAAGATTTTGTAGAAGAAAATGTAGAATCAAAATCTTTTGAGATATGTGTTGAACTGTTTAGTTTTTGCCCTGCTTGCTATAAGAATACATTCTTATCTCAAATCCTAATTTTTTTGAGATGTTACAGTTTTGAAATGGAATAGCGATATAACAAACTGTTTCTTTACAGGTAGATACTGAAATCTTGATGTATAGTATCCATATTTGAGACTGCGCCAGTTAGAGTAGCATGTATGCATTTTTTCAACCCTGGATAAACTTAGGTTGGAATAAAATGTTTTATTGATCTAATTGATCAGATTGTAATAATTATAAATGGGGTATTTATGGGGGATTTATCAAAAAAATTTGTTTTTGATACCTGCTAAAGATAATAAGATTTTTTTAACCAAAAATGAATAAAATTGATATAACTGTTGAAGTTACCCAGTTACAGGTTATTCCATAACTTCAAATTGACAATGTAGCTGTTTTGAAATTAGCTCAAAATCCTGAATTACATTGGCGTACTAAACATATTTGGTCACGACATTTTTTTATTAGATAATGGGTATGATTTGGAGAAATTGTTAAGAAGGTCTTGTCTGAATTCCAATTAGATGACTTAAGCAATTTCAAAGTTTACATTAGTAAATATCTTCCAAGGAAAAGTGTTAAAATAGTTATATTTTCTTGTTTTTTTCTTTGTTATAGCTACTAGAATTCACTTATATATTCATGATTATATATACTTGCTACCATTTTTTTTTTTTCAACGAATGTCAGTAACCTTTTTAACAAAGAAGTTCATTTAAATTTATTACAACAACTTTGTGAACATACAAATATATTAACAATGTTGCAAGTAAAATAGACTACGCCACTGGCTAATAGAAAGAACAATGTAGTACCGAAATGTAAATAAATTGACATGTATAATTTCACTAGTAAAATGTTGGTGTCGCAACACTGCTGGGCTGTGGTTTTATTGTTCGTCTTCAGGTCAGAATGGACAGAAACATCTGGAATCGGACCATGTCCCAAACTGGATATTCCCGGTCCACCCGTTAATTTGACCAGAGTGAGTACCTGCTTTTTTTTATTCTACTTTCCCGATATACAGAGTGATTTGGTAAAAATAGAACTTTTTCGAGTAATATAAGTTTCAAAATAAGTATTAATAGTTATTATTTATAGTACTAGTAAAATATAAGGTATGTGAATTTGATGGTAATTTTGGACTTTGCTGTAAGAAGTAGGCAGCTCTATTTTGGGTAAAATTTTAGTTATTTTTATGTACTCTATGTAACAAATTAAGCTTAATGTATTAAAAATATTAAACTTGTTTACCTTATAATACCTAATAATTACAAAGAGCACCATCTTTTTAAACTTTGGTGCAAGAGGAGGGAAGTTTCAATTGTGTTTTTCCATGTTTTGTAGCCGGTTACATGAAAATCTCACTCTTTGATTAGAATGTTTTTTTGTTTAAAACAACCGGAAACCCTTCTACTTTACAGTATTTTAAAGTTTTTTTACAGTATTTTGCAGTATTTTACAGTATTTTACAGTATTTTTACAGTATTTTACAGTATTTTACAGTATTTTACAGTATTTTACAGTATTTTACAGTATTTTACAAAATTTTACAGTATTTTACCGTATTTTACCGTATTTTACAGTATTTTACAGTATTTTACAGTATTTTACAGTATTTTACAGTATTTTATAGTATTTTACAGTATTTTACAGTATTTTACAGTAATTTTACAGTATTTTACAGTATTTTAAAGTATTTTAAAGTATTTTACAGTATTTTATAGTATTTTACAGTATTTTACAGTATTGGCACGTTCAACGTGTTCTTTAAATAAAATATGTTACAATGAATGCATTTAGGGGGTGACCAATAATTAAATAACTTAGGGCATTAATCAAGTAAGAACTATATGCCTTGAACTCTTTAACTTTATAAAGGTTCTACCACGTCTCTGTGAAACTGCTAAAAAATATAATATATTTAAAAATAAGTATGCAAAATAGTTCAGAGCTCAACATACACAAATATGGGCTCAATGTAATAAGAAGTGCACAAAATATAAACTTACTAATTTTATTAGTTGGGGCACATGTCACAACTCTTGGCTGACTATTAAAAGCGCGCTTCAAATAAAAAAAAAAGACTTTTAGTTCTCACGGTAGAGATCTAGAGCCTCCGATCGGAGTCTCAGTGATCTGAAGCCGCTACTGGGTGTCTCTTACAAGAAGGGCCTCCTATGGGAAGGATCCTGCCCTGTGTTAAAAGCCTTGTGCATCCCCTCGAGATTACCTTTATAATTTTGCCATAGATAATTGTTATTCAACTAATATTTAATAACTATTAAATAATTAACCTTGTTCATGAGTGCAACTTAAAACAAATTCACGATATATTTAAACAAACATATGTACAGGTTGGTATTTAAATATTTAATTAAAATATGCAAATTTTATAAAACGTGTTACTGTTTTTATAGTATTTTTACAGTAATTTAACATTATTTTATAGTATTTTACATTATTTTACCGTATTTTACAGTATTTTATATTATTTTACTCTATTTTATAGTATGGTACAGTAGTTATCAGTATTTTACAGAATTTTTTCAGTATTTTACAGTATTTTACAGTATTTTACAGTATTTTACAGTATTTTACAGTATTTTACAGTATTTTACAGTATTTTACAGTATTTTACAGTATTTTACAGTATTTTTACAGTATTTTACAGTATTTTTACAGTATTTTACAGTATTTTACAGTATTTTACAGTATTTTACAGTATTTTACAGTATATTACAGTATTTTGCAGTATTTTTACAGTATTTTTAACGCCATTTAACAGTATATTACAGTATAATTTAGTATTGTACAGTATTTTACAGTAACTTACAGTAACTTACAGTATTTATCTGTATTTTACGGAATTGTTCAGTATTTTAAGGTATTTTACATTATTTGACAGTATTTTGAACCGTAGCTAATAGTATTTTGAACCGTTTTTAACAGTGTTTAACAGTATTATGCAGTATTTTAAAGTAATTAACAGTATTTTGCAGTATTTTATTGTATTTTACAGTAGTTTTAGAATACTTTACAATATTTTATAGCATCTTACAATATTTTATAGTATTTTTACTCTTTATTTAGTATTTATTTTTATAAACCTTTTATAAAATTAAACATATTTCCGTTTTGTACCCCCTCAAATATCACAAATTTAGAAAAAACAACTTTTAATGTTTATTAATTTATTTACATATTACAAACTGAAACGAGATCAAAAAAATTTATAGGAATTGTAGGTTATGTTATTCTTTGTCTTCTCCTCTTCTATTAAGGTTGTTAATGTTTTTTGGCCTGAACACTCAACATTAATGCGTTTGCTAGTGAAATATCAGATCGGCATGTGGGAAAAATTCATATAGATATGTATATACACGTGTTTTATGACTTTTAGTATCTTCTAAGAATGTCCTGTTGTAGCACGTGCTTAATATATACTTTCTAGAATGTACTTTCAAAGTTTATACTAAAAAGAACATAAACAGAACGTTCTTAGTATAATTCATAAAACATTGAGTTTATGTGGGGTAATACCCATGGTATAAAAAATAAAAGGTAGGATATCAACAGTGTCAAAAATAGGACGGCCACGCGCATAACGTCACGCGTAGAGTTTGTATAGGGCGCGAATTTAAAAATACTGACGAAGTGTGAGGAAAATATATGCTACTTACAGAAATTTCATGAATATTAGGAATAATATTTTAGAAATTACATGAAAATATCTATGGATATTATTATAGGATAGTTAAGGAAAAGAAGTATGAAGAAACATAAATGCAAATACATACATAAAAGAAGTATTTATTTGAACAGTTTTTTCCTTTTTCTTTTTTAATGATTTATTATGGTTATACAAATTCGACTTCTAAAGAATAGGTTATATAACCAGGATAATGAAAAGGGTATCTTTGCAACTTGAAACTTGAATAAAAATAAGTTTTAAAAAATATGTTTTTTTCATATATATATAATGTAGACATTCATATAATACAAAGCATAAAAAATGTACAAAATAAAAAATAACAGCTACATAACATATTGTGGGTGCATGTACAAAATTAAAATAAAATGTCACGGCAATTTTCCTGGACAAAGTCGCTGACAGTTTTTTTAATTCATTCATTAAGTATAAGTCGAAATTTTCTTTTTTTTGCCACATTTACAATTTCACTTTTGCTTATATTGCGAAATTTTTGGCCTTAAAAGGGTAGAGTTTCCAGTTTAGAAGTCGCAAGTTGCGATTGAACCAATGTGAAATTCTGATTGGAGGTTCCTCTTATAAATGGAAGGTTGAAAGTGCTTGGAATACATATGAAAATTTATTTGCAGAAGCCACTGCAAGGGCTACTCCATATCGAATTTTCTTGGGAAGGAGGATATAATTGCCTATTTAGCATTTTTTTTTTAATAAAAGGCTCATGGATTTTAAGAATTTTAATCTAGGGAACGGCATGCTCCCCTGAGCCTCCGCTGGAGCCGCCCTTGGACCAGTCCTCACTTCTGACTGAGCTCTTACTGTTGAATAAAGCGAAAAACCATAACATTTTTCTTGAATCCTTTGCTTTAATTGTTACTGTTACATTCCAACCGCAATTTTTTAAAGTTTTCAACTAAAACCACTCAGAGAGAACAAAGTTTACAATATAATATAATACAAATATCTGTTTAATACCTTATAAATCACTATAAACGACTCCCAAACTACTGCAACATGCGTCTGTCATATGATATTTATTTCGCGCCAACTCTACTAACTCTACGCATGACGTCAGCGCCGCCATGACACCATGCGCGATATCCCCCCCTGGGTAATACCCTGTATTTTCATTTATCAGCTGTGATTGTGACATATACAGTGTCACCTTTAAAATCTGAATTATATACGAATTTTTTTTATTTATTTGGTCCATGAGCAGTTTTGGCTCCCGTAAAATTTGACATATTTAAAAAATACAATGTGTTAGGTTGTTAAATGTTGTTTTTGATTCTTTTCGCGTTTTCTTATCCTAACAGGTTTTAGGCTTCAAATATGTTACAAATATCAAATCGAAAATCTGTCGAAATGACGTAGACTCATGAGATCGGTCAAAATGCAAATGCATTATGTTAATCAGGACGTATTTAACATTATGTATGTAACATTAACATCATGATGTAAAAATAATAATATTTTATAGAATAGCGCACCATTATAGTCTGACCAATCAAAAAAAAGATTTAATAATAATTGTGTTTTGATTAACGCCAAAATTAATGAAAACACCCACTGTACCTGTATTTGATTGTTTTTAATAGAAGAGGTCGTCCAAATAAACAGTGACTTCTATGCATTTCATTAAATTGATATCATTCAATGTAAATGTATCCCATTTACATTTTACTAATAATAACATTTCGATGATGCCTACCTATTGCTAAAAATGTAACAAAAATTTTATCAAAATTCGATTATATATTATGCAAATCTAATAATCTGTTTTTGCACCGGTTCTTTTCTTAATTTACGTCAACGATAATGTGAATGGACCGTGATGGTGTGACGTCATTTATTCTTAACAAAGCAACGTAATCATGGCAACAGAGCTGTCAATACAGTTATAGTTGTCAAAACTTGAAATGTGGTTAGGTTTTGTTTATTTTTAATTTACCTTTATATCATTTTGTTATCCTATAATAGGCGATTTTAAATCAGATACTATGTCTTGAATATGAATGACTACACTGATATAAATCAAAAACAATGACGTCATATTGAATATTGTCTTGAAGTGGTCAAGTGTAACCCTAGCTGAGTACCTAGATATGGACGCATTTAAGGTTTCTGTAAATGGAAATACAATTTATTTTTAAGATAGCCAAGATTTATTGATGAATACGGCAAAAGGTTTGATAACATTTCAGACGTCAAAGCAGCTACAACACCAACTTTTTCTTCATTCATGATCGGTACATAAAACAAACATTTATGTTTTATTTTTACAAATTCAAAACCAAATCCTAACTACAATACATAATACGCGATATCTGACAATGTCATGCGCATTGTCAAGTTAGTGTCAATATAAAATTTTTTATATCAGATTAATAGAACGTCATTATAATGACGTAAGCACCTTAACTTGGTCACATTTCTAGTAACTGATTTAAAATCGCCTAATTTGTTGTATTCCTTTTTTAGAAGTTTGACATTATCATTAAAAGTTGTGTTGTGATGGTCTGTTTCTTTTAATAAAGATTTCAGTACATTCAAAAATAATTGTACATTACCTACTTTTAGACAAAGACACGTCTTCTCTCTGTTTAAGATTGTAAAAGCATAACCTCTTTGGAATACCAAGAAAACAACACTAATAGTTTTTATAGACACAAGAAAACTTTTAAAGGATTGATTGATGTACAACGTACCTAGCACTAAATCTAGTATACACTTCGAAAATAACTTTGCGAGACAGAATAAATACTTTTTCTACTATCTTCCTGCTTAAACCTTCAATATTTTGTTTATTTTTCTTATTAATTTTAGCTGACAGGACACTGGTTCGAAATAGAAAGATCGTTCTATTTGATGGAACTGATCAGCAGTTGCGTGACCTTGGATTTGACTGAAACCTCTAAAGGACGCTTGGATGTGGTCGTTAGCACCAGAAGTTCTTGGTAAGTATATTCATTTATATTTTTTTTAAATTAAATTTGGATATTTATACCTCTTCGGATTGGACCTTTCTTTTTAATTTAATTATTTAATGTTCATCTCAATTTTGAGCTCACAACAAGTGAGATTATTAAAAAAGCAAAATTAATGAGTCAGTAGCAGTTTTAAAAATAAAAATAAATATTTAGAATCATAGTGATCGTAAAAATTGTTTTCAGGAGTGGTACTTTTTCAATCAGCGAAGGTACTGCCGTGCCCACCAGAAGAGATCCCAACTTCTACTTGTACAGAGTCAGCAGTAAACTTCCCAGGGTGCTGAATAGATACCTCCCAGGCTCAGGATTGTATCAGATTCTTAAAACTGATTATGTTAATTACGTCATCCTCTATTCGTGCTCCAATTATCAAGTCATCCATTTAGGTAAATAACCTACAAATTTTGTATAACAATGGCTTAAGAAATCTGCAAATATTATATAACAAATCGGAATAAAAACTTAAAAGCACAAAATCCCTGAGGTTTAATAAATTTGATATAGTAACTGATTGTGCTTTCACCAGTGTAACAACTGCTAAATTGTCCAAACTAGTCTCTAAATAATTAAATCCCACCGCTGTCACCAATATTACAAGTTGGTAAACTAATCTGTAACTAATTAAATTCCATCGGTGTCATCAGTGTAACAAAAGGTAGGTATTTAACTAGTTTTTAACTATTTTAAATTCCACTCCTGTCACCAGTGTAATAAATAGAGGTTTCTGAATAAATAGAGGCTCTCAATAGCGGTAAACACGATATATGTCACTAATTTTAGGCAAGCGGCAAGGACCTTTTGGACGAAGGCCTTACGCCAAGAAAATTGACCGAAGTCAACTTTGGTTGGAAAGTTAGTTCTCTCTGTTATACATCTGTACCTCTATATATTGTTTGAGAAAGTAAAATCATGTAATTACCTTGACAAATGAACCTGAATGTTAAATTTATAAAACAATTTCTAAATGAAACTAATATAATTTTTGTGAAATCTTAAAATTTTCCACTAATATTAATGACAAATTAAATAAGAGACCCTAAATTGGGAGCTTGAAATTCAACTTTTTCTTTAATTTCTATTTTCAAATTAAATTTATTCTCGAATTGAATCAAATTACATAACAAAAGCAGCGGTTGCCAACCAAATCTAATAATGGTACGTACCTACCTGTAGATGGAATTCAAAGAGCCAATCTAGAAACGATAATGACAAGACGTACCGTACCGACGATGATGTGAAGGAACGTAAAAACGTGAAATATTCAATTTGGTTGAGTTACAGTAAATTGAGCAATTCGTTCGTGACTAGAGATTATACCTAATAAAAAAAGGTTCTTAGGAACATTCAGAAGTAACTAACTATATTATATGTTTATTAATATAGATATACAGTCAGAAGAAAATCATTTATGACAGATAGTTTAATTAAATCTATAGAATTTAAAAAAAAAACAGTTACCTTAAAAAATGAGTATACCAATTATAGAAATACGAGGCGTCATACATCTATTGGAAAGTCACAACACAATGACGCATTTCGCCTATTTTCTAGTCAAAATATCAAAGATTCGTTTTTATGAGGGTTGCTGATTTTGAATATGAATTAAAAATGAGAGAAACAAAGTGGCGGGTCCAATATGGCTCCTGAAAATTTTAAAAATTGCTCGTTTTGCATTAAAAATAACCCTGAAGAGGGTTTTGGTGACGATGATTTTGAATATGACATTAAAAATTGCTTGATTTACATAAAAATTCAACCTGACGGTGATCCTAAAATTTAAAAATACAAAGTGGCGGATCCTAGATGTCTCCCGAAAATATTATACATTGATTACTTTGCATAACATTTAAACCTGGCGTATCCTAGGAGGGTTTTGAGGTCACTAATTTTGAATATGTTATTAAAAATTAAAAATACAAAATGGCGGATTCAATAAGTAGTGAGAAAATATTAAAAATTGCTTGTTTTGCATAAAAATGAAACCTGAAGGGATTTTGGGGGCGATGATTTTGAATATGGCATAAAAATTAGAAATACAAAATGGCGCATCCAATATGTCGAGAGAAAATGTGAGAAAATAGTGTTTTTTAAAGAACAATAACATATTGCCTCATAAATATTTAGGCTTTAGGGCAGGATACAGGTATTCAACAGCCTTATCTGATGTAACAGCTTTTGACACTAGAAGCAACGAAATATTTCTAGCCAAATGTTTATTCTTCTTCACTAAAGGTCATTTCTGGCGTACCTCAGGGTAGTGTATTAGGCCCATTGTGTTTTAGTCTATATACATCACAATTTCCTACTGTTTTGAAATACTGTAATAGCCACTTATACGAGGATGATACTCAATTATATTACTTTTTTAAACATTCTTCCCTAAATGAGAATAAATCCATATTTGACTAATATATTTGCTTTCTTTTCTTGTAAAAGTTAAAGTTGGACAATAAATGTATTATTATTATAAAATATTATAAATTGCTTGTTTTAAATAAAAATTAAACATGACGGGAGTCCTAAAGGGTTTAGGAGGTCGATGATTTTGAATTTCATTAAAAATTAGAAATACAAAATGACAGATTCAATATGTCATGAGAAAATATTAAAAATTTGCTTTTTTGCATAAAAATTAAACTTGACGGGGGCTGTAAAGGGTTTTTGAAGTCACTGATTTTGAATATGTCATTAAAAATTAGAAATACAAAATGGCGGATCCAATATGTCCTAAGAAAATATTAAAAATTGCTTTTTTGCATAAAAAATAAACCTGACAGTGGGTCTAAGGGGTTTTGAGATCGTTGATTTTGAATATGTCATTAAAAATTAAAAATACAAAATGACGGATTCAATATGTCATGAGAAAATATTAAAAATTTGCTTTTTTGCATAAAAATTAAACTTGACGGGGGCTGTAAAGGGTTTTTGAAGTCACTGATTTTGAATATGTCATTAAAAATTAGAAATACAAAATGGCGGATCCAATATGTCCTAAAATATTAAAAATTGCTTTTTTTGCATAAACATTAAACCTGACAGTGGGTCCTAAGGGGTTTTGAGATCGCTGATTTTGAATATGTCATTAAAAATTAAAAATACAAAATGACGGATTCAATATGTCGTGAGAAAATATTAAAAATTTGCTTTTTGCATAAAAATTAAACTTGACGGGGTCTGTAAAGGGTTTTTGAGGTCACTGATTTTGAATATGTCATTAAAAATTAGAAATACAAAATGGCGGATCCAATATGTCCTAAGAAAATATTAAAAATTGCTTTTTTTGCATAAACATTAAACCTGACAGTGGGTCCTAAGGGGTTTTGAGATCGCTGATTTTGAGTGTGTCATTAAAAATTAGAAATACAATATGGTGGATTTAATATGGCTCCAGAAAATATTAAAAATTGTTTATCTTGCATAAAAATGAAACCTGCAAGATTATACTTAAAAGTTTTTGAGATCGGATTTTGAATATAACTTAAAATATTAGAAATATAAAACGGATGATCCAATATGGTAGCTGATAAAGTTAGAAAATTTTTAATCAAAATTTGAAATTGTAAATGACTGTTAAAACTTATAAATTAATTTCGACTTATTCAATTTTGTTTTCTATTTCTATAACAAGATCCACCACATTAGATCCGCTATTTTGAACTTTATTAATCTCAAGATACCAAATTTCATGGACAAAAAGTTTTCGTTTACTCCCCATATTAAAACTGACATTTTTAATCTTGTATTTTTGATATCGGATTCGTAATCAGCGGCTCCTAAAACCTGTGAAGCGAATACGGTTGACTTTAAAAATTCCATCCGCCATATTAAATCCGTCATTTTGAAATTTATATTTTTCACACTAAATTATCTCAAAAACCCTTGGGTAATAAATGTTATGTACTAATTCATCATGGGCGTCGTTACACAATTCTATAGGGAGGGGCAAAATTTTGAAAAAAATTTAGAATGTTTATTTGTTGAAAAACAAAGAAAATGAAAAATAAAAGAGAATTTTCTTATGATGGATTTAATTATTCTGTGACGTCATGGCTTACTTCCAGTTTTTTTCCAGAAATAACAGAAAATCGCAATTTATTTTTATTTTTAAATGAAAACCCTTTTTCTTATTGAAAATTTGAATTTCTGGGACATTTTTATATAAGAAGCGTGTATTGAAAATTTTCTGTCAGTAACATATTAAATAAAATATTTTCCAATATGGTGGTCATTTTGACAGCTGACAGAAAATTTTCAACACATGATTCTTATCCATAAATATCCCTAAAATTCAAATTTTCTATAAAAACGAGGGTTTCTATTTAAAAATTAAAAATACATTGAGATTTTCTATTATTTCCGATAAAACAGAAGTAAGCCATGAAGTCACACATCAATTGAATCCAGTATATAAGAGTATTTGTCCCAAGGTTTTAAACAAATAAGTTTTCATTCCAATATCTCAATTAACAATGAAGATAAAAGCGGATGGCATTATTAAACGGTTTGCTAATAATAAAAATACTTAGATACGCCACTGGTATACGGTAAATGGGAATTTTGAAGCCTAAAAAGATTTTATAAAGTTCGTACATTACTATATGTTTTCTATAAACGAATTAATAGTAACATATTTAGAAAAAATATTATCCAATATGGCGGCCATTTTGACAGCTGACAGAAAATTGTCAATACACGATTATTATACAAAAATATCCCAAAAATTCAAATTTACACTAAAAAAGAGGGTTTCCATTTAAAAAAATCGATTTTCTGTTATTTCCGGAAAAACCGGAAGTAAACCATGACGTCACAGAACAATTGAATCCGTCATAAGAAAGTATTTGTTTTAGTCTTTCAAACAGAACAAAATTATTCCGATATCTCACTGAATAGCGAAGATAAGGAGGAGTGGAAACTTAGTAGTAACCCTAACAATGTCACTAACCTATTTGACAGAACTGATACTTAAGTTGTCATAACAAGTCTCTAATAAATAAAACAACCCAACAAAAAAGACAAAAACTAAAATAAAGAAAAAACAAGAAACTTAAGGCACATTTTTAAAACACAAACAGAAGGTGTGATATAAAAGAAAAATATGAACAAGAGGACAGCCATACATAATAATATAAAAAATAAAAATTTATAGAAAAACAAAAACAAAAAAAAAACTCTATCAAACAGGACGATGAACACAAAAAAAAACACTAGGAAAATGCAAATTTTAAATTTCTATTTTCTCTACTAAAAACATCGATAACAGAAAACATCATTTATTTTTCAGTCAGCCTATTTTCATTCATTATTCGCTCCGTACGTGACAGCAGAGCCAACTATTTTATGAACTAACGGACGATATTTGCGTATACTGACAATACAATTTTTAATAGAGTTCGTATATGTTAATTTTAATAAAAGTATATGGATTTGTAAAACAAGTGAAAAAAAATATTATTATTATTATATATTTTTATTGCTTCAGCTAAAAAAAGTAGTATAATCAATAAAAATCAATAATAAAACATAGGCAGGTATTTACGAGAAAATATATGAGATCTTGCCTAAGCCTAATAAGTTGTTATTGAAGAATAGGTTGAATCATGTCAAAATAAAAATATTACCATTATATAATAATGTAGAATTAAAACGTATTAACAAAAATAATTGGTATATTTGTGATTATAATTTATATTTTCTTTATTTTTAGTTCGAAAGAACCCATAGAAATTAATGATTAAAACTGGTTTCCTATCAATAAGTCACAAGATTGCATTTTAGCCATATACAATAACCAAAGGCAGAAATCTAATCATTTGCTAAACATTTAAGATTTAAGGGATGTTGAAGAATATCATAAAATAATTTATTGTATGTTTTAACATGTCTTAGCGGGCTAAACGTTCTTTCGATTAACTCTGTCGTTGGTGGAAGAGCCATAAATAATTTTTAAACCACTTTGTATGTCTGGATAAAATTCACAATGTTTGGACGTTATATCATTTAATGGAGAGCTCATTGTGTGCAGAAAGCTCTTTCGTACTCCAGTTTGGTATTCAGCTTCAAAATTGTCGATTTCAAATTTTTTCACTACTTTCATTTTCTAATCGGTAGTGAAAAAAGTAATTTGTTATGTTTTTGGGATGTAACAGTCTTAAGGAAAAACTAACAAAGTCTTCGGAAAAGCGTGATGTAAGCGACGTAAGGGAATCCAGATATGCAATAAATATATTCAACCTATAATATTCTTCAACAATATTAGCCAGAATATTATTATTTCTATGAGGTTGTTGTTCGTATTGCATATCTTACTTTACTTGTTGTTGAAGCAAGGGGGGCAATTGCCCCCCCCCCTTGCCCCCCTACCAAACGACGCCCTTGTAACTCATGCTAAAAAAGTATTTTAAACAATGGTTGACACGTCTTCAATATTTGTGGAGAAAAACAAATCAAAGAACAATATTTTGATTCCAAAGTACATTTTTCAAACTGAAAAATGTCCTCTTGTTCAGTAAGCTCCGAAATCTCAATCACACTTTGACGTAATGATAGATGACAGAGTTCTTCATACATTCCATCACTGTTTATTGTTTCTAGATTCAACTAAATGACTATAAAACCAATGCCTTATTTTATGTGACGAGTGAATATTATCTGGACGATCAGAGCGAGGTTCCGCAATATGAACGAGTATCATAACTATTTTTTACAGAAAAATATATGCGTTTACCCCCAACAAATTTGACTATTATGGAACTATAACGATTTTGCTGCATTATTATTCATATTTAACAACAAGCTGTAAACATGTTGCAGCAACCTGTTTTCACAAACCAGAATATCATCCAAACAACCACACTTTTTCATGTCAGGAATTAAATTTATTTCGCCTTTGCAAAAATAAGAACTGCATTTTTCATAATCACCAAACACATGTTTTGGACAGTTGTAAATATATCTCTTTAGTAAATTTATTTGATTTTTTTTTAATTAAAATTATCACAGGTTTGTTTGATGAAATTTCGTAATACTAATTTCTCTTTTTTTGTTTATTTTTAGACATGGTTTGGATTTGGGGCCGAAAAAAGGAAATAGAAGCCGAATTAAGGTCGGACCTGTACGCAATGCTGACTGCACACAATATTGACTCTGAAAGATTAATTCTTTCGAAAAATGAGAATTGTACTGATGATTTTCTCAACGATTTGGAATATTATTTATAATAAAATAAATAAAGATATGTTCTATTAATATTTTTTTATAACCTTCTCTTAAAAAAACTATAAAATATACTCAGAAAAAAATATTGGAAATGCTTCTAGATTTAAAAAATCTGGATTAAGAGTAAATATTTTCAAACAAATAGAAACAACTTGTTTTTCTTTGATTTACGTCTTTATTTCTTCTTGCATTTCGTATTGAATGTAATGGAAAAAGAAAATATTCTACATTTTTCTTTTTCTTCTGTGTTTTTAGGGAAATTGTGCGAGGTAAGTCATATAAATGTATTTGGATCAGTAATGCACAAAGATACACAGTTATATACGTATTTTATAACTATTTTCTCCTTTCGAAAATGTTCTCTTTGTAAAATTATTCTATCCGTGCATAATCTTGCAAAAACGGTTAATCTAATAGAACAAAATGGGCTTAGTACGACGCTGCCCACAAACATTTATAAACGTCAGCAATATTAAAATAATTTAGAACGGTTCAATTTGATTCTGATCGATAACTGTTCATAAGTATCAAATTTTTATAATCATCCAATCTTCTTCATTGATCATTGATCTACTTTTTATAATTTCCTTTTAAATTACCACCAGTTTAAATTTTTATTTAGTCATCTAGCGCCATCTGTTGTTAATACGCAATACTTAAAAATTTTCTATTAAAGTTTTCTGCAGTAAAAACTATATCGTTTATTTAAATAGTGGTAGATGGCGCTAATGGAAGTATTGGTATTTGAAATAATAAATTTTTGATAAATTAATTAGGAATAATAATTATTAATAATGAATTTTTTAACTTTGGTAACTAATTAATTAAATTTAACTGTTAAAATTAAATTGCTTTTCTTCCTGATCACACAAAATAATCTTTTTTGTATACAGGAAATTTAAATTATAAGTTGCTTTGTTAGAAGAATAAGAATATGTCAGTATTAACAATTTCTTCATCTCTTACCCCATCCTGTAACCATGTTTCGGCAGCAATAATTGTAGAAATAACTCAGAAATAAGTTTAGAGACTTTGACAAAATATATGTTAATAATCGTTTAATTTTTGATAGGTGGCATGTTTTATCGGTTCTTGGATCACCTTCTTTCGCTTTTTGTGGCTTGGAATCTGGATCCATTGGTATAGATGTAGGTTTGCAGTTAGACATACTATACTTCTCCAGTAATTTAAGAATATACTGTTTTTGATCTATACATACAGCTGTCCCACTCAATTTGTAACGATAATAAAAATTTTGGTACACCAAGAAAAGTAACTTTTTGTAGAGAGTTTTCAATTATTCGTGTTTTTTCTTCGGTACTTCCTAATAATAATATATCGTTTACATATATTGCTAGAGCCTGTTCATAATCTGATGATACAAATAAACATGGATCTGCAATTGATTGATGTAGATTAATTCCTTTAAGAACTGATACTAGTTTATGATTCCATTTACGTGGAGCCTGCTTTAATCCATAAAAACTTTTTTTTAGAAAACAGACTCTCCCTGGTCCTTCACTTAAACCATCTGGTATTTTCATATAGATTTTAAAGTCTATGTCACCGTTGAGAAATGCATTCTTTATATCTAGTTGTTTGACAACCATTTGTTTGTGAATTGTATGTGCAAGTAAAATTCGAATTGTCTCGTAGCGCACGACGGGAGCAAAAGTATCTTCAAAATCAATACCTTGTATTTGACTATACCCTTGTGCTACTTGTCTTGCTTTGTATTTAGAGATTTTTCTCCTAACTTTTTCTTAAAAACCCATCTACATCCGATGGTTCTTTCTCCAGGAGGCATTTCAACAATGTCCCAAACATTATTTTTCTTCATTGACTCAAGTTCGTCATTGATGGCAGTTATCCACAAATCTGATTCAAGTCCTTTAACAGCATCTACATACAAAAGTGGTTTATCTAAAGCTAAATTACAAAATTCTTCTGTATAGCGAATAGGAGGTTTACTTTCTCTTGCGCTGCGTCTAAAGGGTGCATAATTTGGTGTTAAATCTGGTTTTTCATTGGAACTGAATGGAACAGAGTTTGATGTTAAATCTGGTTCCTCATAGGATGTTGATGGCAAATTTAATTTAGTTTCTTTATTTTCAGTTTGATCAATCTTTCCACTATTTTTATTAGGATTTTGTAAAGAGGTATTATTTACTTCCTTTCTTTGCAAAGGTGATATAAATATAACTCCTTCTTGAGGAACTAACTTTAAATCTTTTGACACGATATTTTTACCATTCCAAAAACGGTACCAGCCTTATTTCTTGCCAAATCCAATTAGAAATGATTTGTAGGCTCTACGACACAGTTTGCTTCCTGGTTTTTGAATTGGAATATTAACATATGCCTTTTGCCCAAAGTATTGGAGATGGCCTATCCTTGGTTTCATTCCAAAAAACTTTTCAAAGGGAGTTTTTTTTATTAAATGCATGAGGAATTCTATTTTTCACACATACAGAGTGTGCTACTGACTCTGCCCATAGTGACAATGGCAAATCAGAATCAATACGCTAGTTCGGTGTGATGTCATTTTGGTTCCACTGACATTTAATTCTAACCAAACTTTTAACAAAAACCTCAATAAATTTGACATATACGTTTTTAGTGTTTTTAGTTTATTTCTTAATATTTTTTACAGGTCATAAAAAATAGTTTAAAGGTATGTAATTGGTAACTAAACGATTGTATATTTGATGCATGTTATCTACTTACTTTAGGAATATATTTATAAAAGTGAAAAAACGATATAATTTAGGTAAACAAAACGAACAAAACGCACTCAAAAAATCTACTGTCACTTTAATTGTTAGTGGAACCATAATTACATCATCACCGAACTAGCGTATTATATTAGTTCTAGACATTGTAGTTACAGTTCTATTTAGTCTCTCTGCCAATCCATCAACAAAATAACTGGCCTATGATGAATATATTACTCGAGCAGACAATAAAGCCAAGGCATGTTGGCAAATAATCAATTTCGAAAGAAACAATTTAAAAAGAAATCTATTAACTCCTGATTTAACACCAAATGAAATAAATACATTTTTTAATACAACTGCTGCAAATATCATAAGATCTCTTCTTAATGTTTCGAATGCCGAACTTTTGAGTTTTAAACATTTTCCTATGCCCTGTAGCTCATTTTTCTTCCGCCCTGTTCTTGAGTCTGAAGTTTTTGACGCAATTACTTCTCTAAAAAATTTTAAATGTGTTGACACTCACGAACTCAGTAGTAAAATTTTAAAAGAGACTTGCAATATTATAATAAAACCGTTTACTGAACTGATTAATTTAATTTTATCCACTGGTATATTTCCTGAAGTACTTAAATACTCCAAAGTATTATCAATTTTCAAAAAAGGTGATGTCTCGAAAATTGATAACTATTGTCCCATAAGTATTGTTTTAATATTTGGTAAAGTTATTGAAAAAATTATTAAAAAACAATTATGTGAGTATTTTGAATTAAACAACTTCTTCAGCAACTCCCAATATGGTTTTAGACGCTCTCGCTCTAGTACACAGGCTGTTATCAATGTTGTAAATGATGTAGTTGAGGAACTTGAGCATTCTTCTGGAAAAGCTAAGCCTTTATGGAGTTAGGGGAATTACGCTTGCACTAATAAATTCATATATCAGTAACAGACGGTGTTCTGTCTGACTTTCAGGCTTTAAGGCAAGGGGTTCCACAAGGTTCTGTCCTGGTCCCCCTTTTATTCATTATTTATGTTAACGATCTAAGACGTTTTATGCTACCTAATAAATCAGTTTTATTTGCTGATGATACAACACTCATCTTAACAGACAAAAATAATAAAAATTTAATTTCTTCGTTTGATGAAATTGCGGACAAAGCAAACACATGGTCCTCAACCAACAAATTAAAACTTAACAGTGAAAAAACTCAAAATATGCAGGTATCTGCCAATAATCAAATTATCTCAAAATTAGAAACAAAAAACGTAAAATTACTTGGTATTACATTGGATAACAAACTCAATTGGTCGGCCCACATTAATCAGTTAAAGAAAAAACTTTCTAGTTCTTTGTTTATTCTTCGGCAGTTGAAAAGACTTACCAACTTAGGGTGAGATTACAGAACGTCTTCAACTTTGCAGATCTGCAAATATGGCGGCAACTTTGAAAATCTGCAAATATGACTGACTTACACATGCAAGTATCAAGTTTTCGTATTCCAAATTTGGGTTTAGTGTTGTTGAGGGTAATAAACCACAATAAATATTGCGAATTTGCAGATATTTTTTGGAATACTTGCATTTGTAAGTTCGCCACATTTGCAGATTTGCAAAGTTGCAGATCTGCAAAGTTGCAGACGTTCTGTAATCTCACCCTTAAATACCCTCAAAACCTCGCATTTCTCTCTCTTTCACTCGCATGTTAGCTATGGTGTACCACTTTGGGGAAACTCTTCTCAATCTATTCAAATCTTCCGGATGCAAAAAAAAGCTATCAGAATTATGGCTAACATTGGATTCAGAGAACATTGTCAACCACATTTTATTAAATTTAAAATTATGCTACTACCTACTTTATATCTACATCATACACTTGTTGAATTCATAGGAAACAGTCTGTTTTGCTGAAACAGTCCGATATTCATAATTACAAGACACGTAATTCACATTGTAGTAGAAATACTCGTTTTAGGTTATGTCTATCTGAAATAAATTCCCTAAATTATAACTTATTTAACATATTACCACAGAACTTTAAAAATTTAAGTAATAATGCTTTTAAAAAAATATTTAAAAAATATCTATTGAGACATTGTTTTTACTCTGTCAATGATTATGTAGCTCATTTTCGGTCTGCATTTCACTGTCACTCTGTCTCATCACAATTTTAACCTTGATAAGTACCTAATAATTATTGTTTTTATTTACATTGTTTAAATTCTGGTACTCTAATAATTATTGTTTTATTTGTTTTATTTAGGTATATTGTTCAAATTCTGTTACCACCTATGACTTGCTATAAACATAATGACTTATGT